TAGCTTATTTTGATGTCAACACTAAAAACGAAACTGTACCTTTTTTGATATATTGATAGATTAAAGTCAGTCAGCACCCACAGCCTGCAGTATTTGAGAAAAACAACTTCCGGGCGGCTTCAGAGTATTGATGTGAGTTTACATCAAGGTAGAGGAAATGGTTTTATTTATAGCAGTGTTCTCGATTTTTATCTTAAGTTTGGTACTAAAAATATCCAGTGATATTTTTTGAGCCTTTTGTTATGAATTTAGAGCGGTTCAGCAGGGGAGGTAAAATGCAAACACGTCAAACCCCATATGTGGTATCCTGAGGTTTAGGTTTCAGATGGTTTAAGGGTCATGTCAGTAGCAGGAAATACCCAACTGTAATGCTTGGACTATGTATTAAGATTGAAATGAACTGTCATTAAAACATAGAGTTACTGAAACTAATCAGATATCTTAGTTTTAGTCTAATGAAGTTTGAAGTTGACGAAAACTGATTTCTGAGGGGACTGAATGTTTGATTAAAGATCTACTCATCTGTTAAATAGGAGAAAAGTATTAGTGCTTAAATGATTAGTGGCTTAATAGATCAGTCAATCAGTCATTTATTAAGCAAAGATAAAAACTTTCACTGTTTCTATTTCCTCAAGTCTTGCTGCTCTATGTTTTCTGCCATTGTGTACTGAATATCTCTGGGGATTATGGACTGTTGGTTGGCCCAACAATCAATTTGAAGACATTACCTTGGCCCATCATAATTTCCCAGAGGTGAAAGCTGCAGTCCTAGATTGGAAACATGATTTATTTGTTTCTAAGCTCATGTTGCCCTCTCAGCAACTACTGATCAACTAATCAAAAAACAATGGAGGAAAGTGGTGTTTCAGCATAGGGTTTCAACAGAACACATGCAAATCAAATGCATAGCCTGAAATGCAATCACCAACCAGCAAGGCACCAGCTTTTGTACCTCAACTCTGATTAGTTCAGTTTGGGATGTTTATTATGATATTTTGTAAGCAGTCAAAGGTCATAAATTATATATTTTGACTTGAGATCATATTCAACTTATAAAGATTTTACAATCAAGCATGCTACAGCAGTTTTAAGTGTGTATGAGTGGGTGTGAATGCATATGGTGTGGTTGCAGACTGGCAATTTAAGGGGTTTTGTTGCAGTGGTGTGCTCTTTGTACAGTCCGGAGCTTGATTGGGACTTGGCACTCTGGTTAAGAGTGTGTGAACGAGATTACAGGTCTCTGCTGTCCAGTCCTTTCATTCACAAATTAGCTGCCTCCAAAAATGTATTCATCATGAACTACACTGTGACAAAATAGATAAACTCTTTCAGGCAGGCTCGTGCTGTGTTTGAATGTTTTCTGCCGGTCCTGCAAATGTTGTGGTCTGACAGGAATTAACAATGGCTGGTGTTTTATTTATTATTCAAATTAACAGGGTTGGACAATTGACCGAATAAAAGAAACAAGTGTACAAGATAATGCAGCTCAGTTCATTGTAAGAAAGACATTGATTTTTTTCAGGCCATAGTTCATTGTGTTGTGCAAAATTTCCATCTGGATCTTTCTCATTTTAAGCAAGAACGAAAACACAAAGTGTGGGTGGTCCTGGTAGCAATAGTTGAAGAAGTTTTTCACTAGTTGAAAGATGGTCTTTTAATAAAACAGGGCTGTCAATGCAGTAGAAAGACACAAATACTTTTGAAGTTGGTGCTACATAACCAGAGAAATGAGAGAAAAAGGGTCGTGGCATTTGCTTTTGCTCAAGAGGGAGAAAACCTCCAACGAGCAGAATTTACTGCGCTACATGATAGGACCAATTGAGTCTCCCACTGGTGAGTGTTGTTATGCGAGTTGCTTGTCCGAAAACAATATGGCGGCTGGATGGTAGCAAATGATCTTGTATTACAGTTAGACAGTAGGCTAAAATGTGTTTCTGCTAAGATTCGAAGCGAGTATTAAGCAATACAGTAACATAACCTTGGTTTATAGTAGATCAGTGCTGCCTAATTTTGCCCTTTCATCTAATTATTTTCAGCCTCTGTTTTTACAATGCAGGAAACAGTATGATGCCCACTTCCTATTCACAGGTTTTCATATAACAGCCAAACAGTACACTAAAAATGTTTTTGAAAATATTTCTTAGTGAGAAGTAGGCAATGCAGTAACAGAATCTTGGTTTATATTTCATCAGCACTGCCTAGTATTACAGTTTTTTTGGAGTTGGGTCTGAATTTGAGAGGGGTGTATTGGTGGTGGTGGGGTGTCTCTATCTCAATCTGTCTCTATACCCTCTGTGCCCGTGGTGATGGTGGCCATACAGAAATGAGGGAGTACAGTCTGTAGTTTGGACAGCAGCTCAAGAGCCAGGCTGGCAAATGAGCAGGGACATTATGGTGCTAGCAAGATGAAGGGAAGTTTAACATAGTTCAGTTAACGTACACACACTACCCACATTGTTATGATAAAAAAGCTGGTTCAAAGTATCCCTTTATAGCCCGTCTCCCACTGCACAAAAAACCCACTAACATCCGCTAACATCTGGCTTTTTTAATTGGAAAGGTTACAGTTGGCATTCACTCCCGGACTTAATGACTCTGCAGCAGTGACAGGTATTCTTCGGCTCCAGCTCTGATCTGCTCCGATCGGCAGTGATGGAAATAGGACACCCTAGTGGACGCGCTAATTTTAGGCCATTTACCAGCAAGATGGAATAACGGGCTGCCACAAAATACCATCAGTCAATGTTCAAGCAGCACTCAAGTGTTGCTGAAAATGAAGTTGGCACTGAGTTTGAGAGAGAGACTGAATAACTAAGAGATATAAAAAATGAAGAAACCGCTGTAAACATTTTTACTGGCCACCATGTGGCTTTCTACTGTTTACTAACCTGTTTTGTGGCGTGTTCATGACGTTGAAAGTCACACTTTAGTAAGAAAAAAACACACAGAGAGGTATACTCATCTGCTGCAGAGCCATTTACGTAGTTCTGGCCTACTGGCAATGGGAAAAGAGTCTATTGCCTTTTTTAAGCGGGTTTTCCTATGATTAAAAAACCTGCATACACACAAACTTTGGAACTGTGGAAAAGTGGAATAAGATGCAAACTGTATAACAAGTACATCTACATATACATATATCTATATGTAACATTTATCAACAAGTTTATATAAATAGATACATAATCTTAAAAAATTATATATACTGTATGCAGTTGTTTTTAATTGTGTGCAATATTTAAAATGTAGTCATAAGACATCCTGCTGTTCATTGACGGACGTGTAAATATCCCTGGAGTGAAATTGATGAAAGGAAAGAACGCACACGCCTCTTTTCTTTGTTTTACTTTGAGCAGGTCGTGTCTCCATCTCATCCAACACGAGCAAACACACGCAAACTTTTCAGGTTTATTCAGCAGTACAGGAAGAGAGGATTATTCTCAGAGAAACGAGCCTGTTGTTGAAACGGCTGTTGGGCTGCTGGCAAAGTAGAGGTCAGAGGGGCTGTCTGAGAGGGGCTCCATGCCTTATGGATGGCGTCTAATTAGCGGGATTGGTGGACATTGCTGGTGGTCCTGGTGTGACCGTGACTTCCTGCTGGGCTTTTCCTAAACACCACCAGTCTGATCAGTGACCCTCTCCGCGCTCCTGAAATTAACCCATTGTCCCCTTGTCGACTCTGTCCAATCGCTCTCTCAAATGAGACGCTCCGCCCCTCACTGCGCTGGGTACAGGCAGAAAGCATGTTTCTTCGACCAACACTGAATGAAAACATTTGGCTGTTAGTTTAATGTGATTAAAGTCATTTTCTTGCAGCAAACAGACACAATATTTGCCAGTTCTGGCGAGCCTGGTCTGCACTCAAGCATTGCTATTTATTGCCTCAGTTTTTTATTTGGAAAACAGCCAGTAGATCTATTCCTGGAAAGAGCTGTCTTTTTTTCAAAGTGATAATGAAACTGCATTTATCCCAATAAAAAATATTCCTCTCATGGTTACATAATCTTTTGTTTGATTTCTCCAAGGAGAGCCACAATCCCATAGTGAGAGGAGGTTGTTGTGCAACAGCTTTTCATGTTCATAGTGGTGAGTCATCCACCAGTTGACTGCCATAGTTTATGACTAGTATTCACCGGCACTTAGTCCTCGAAGAATGATGACACAAAATAAGCCAACATGGGAAATGAGAAGGAGGTTCAGTAGTGGTTGAGGTCGATATCAGATCATGACAGGTGGTTGCAACATGAGCATGTTACTATATACTGTCATGTAATATCAAACTCCAGGTGTGCTGATGACACTCATCTCTTTGAATTCTCTTGTTTCTACCATGTTTTGATCAATGGACTATATATGTAATTCCGACTGAACTAAACCCTGTTTCTGCATCTTGCTGGTCAGGATCTTAACTGTTAACCTCAGATACTGTTTGAGAGGGAAATGTCAGAGGGATGATTGAAATGCAAACTTGAACAGATGGCAGATATTCATTTAGAAATACCTGCTTTCAGAAGAATAAATAAAATGAGAGACGGAGCTAAAGTATAAAAATAGTTCACATCCATCATTCTGCATTATCAGACTGACTCAGTGTTCACTTTGGACCTTTAAAGCTTTGGTCTTGATATGCAAGATTTTTTTGGTTCCTAAAGTAAAAAAGAAGTTACTCAACACAGAGAAGCATAAGAGGCCCCTTTTCCCTATATGGAGTAGGCAGCCAAGAGGCCCCACATTCCCCTCAGAAAGCACTATTGGTGAGTGTTGACATGAGGGCCGTATGATGTCATTTTTCACAGCTCCCACAAAATCATCCATCTCATACAGGATTACTTTCTATCTATCAACATCTCTAAACACCTTTTGAGTTTTATTCACATTGAATAATAACTGACATGGCTGTGCTTGTCCGATGTTTCCTTGTGTTTGGGAATATCAAGTATTCATGGTGACTTCTTCTGTGTGATCATGCACAGTCAACTAATTCTGTTTCTTTCTTATTGCAGCAGGCCTATGTGTCCTCCGGCCATCAGATGGCGCCCCCCAGTCCCAACACTAACAGTAGCAGCAACAGCAGTGGGGGAGGGGAACAGCTGAGTAAAACTAACCTGTACATCCGCGGCCTCCATCCGGGGACCACAGACCAAGACCTGGTCAAGCTCTGCCAACCGTGAGTGATTTTCAAACTCTTCTTTTTTAATTAATCTCACATCATGAGTCTCTTTTGTAAAGGCAGTGTGACATTTTGGGAAACACGCTTATTTGCATTCTTGCCGTTGTTAAATAAAAAGATCAATATCACTGTCATGTCACGTGCGTCTTTGGTGATTGGATCACAAACAGTTTCAAGTCCAGGTGTGAATGCACCCAACTCATTGCATCTTAGATCTGATCTTTCAGACCTCATTCAGAGGTGGTCTGGGCCACATTGAAGGACTGCCTCTCATCTTGCATCCTTGCTTATCTGACTCCCTGAAAGATAAGCAAACTTTCTGTTGCTGCAGTTACTCAGGTTAGTCAGCACTTAATAGTCATTTATAGAGTCACTCTCCTCCCAGTGAAAAGTCAGTTCAACGTCTGCTCAGTTAGCACAAAGTAACACATTAGCAGCTGTTAAATTGTTCCTACAAACTCACACTGACACTGAATCGGCTCGACTCTGTTGCTAAAACTGTTAATTACCATTAGGGAACCTGAGTGATGTGATGCTAATAGTTAGCCCTGTCACTGTGTTTATGCAGCCAGACTCTCATCAACTCTCCCCTACGTGGAGCTCACACTCCCCACTCCCACAGCAGTATTCTGCTATGATGAGGAATGAATTGATGTAGGCTACGTGATTATTTGCACAATGAGAAGGGAAGTGAGATCTGATCGCAAGCGGTCAGTGGACACGCATTCTGAACATATGTGATCGGATCACTCAAGGCGCATGTGAATACCCTGGTGAACAGGCTCAAGACACGCCAGAAAAACTTGCCATTTTGTTTTTTTAATCCATTTATATACAGACATGTAAAATCATTCATTTATGATTTTACAGGTAATACATACTGTAAGTATTTTTTGACACAACCTCACGGTGACAACAATAGTCTGGGAAGTCATTGTGCTGTTATCTGCGAAGAAATTAACAACCTGACGCCATACAATGCTACATTGAACAACATTACGTCTCACGAAGTTTCATTACACCAGGTGATATCGCGAATGTAAATACAGCACATTGATGAATGACTTTAGAGGCAGATTTTTTTTTTTTGCACTGCAGTGAGATTCAGGTGACTGTTTCCTCTGCTTCCAGGCTTTTTGCAAAGCTAAGCTAATTGCTTCTTAACTTCAGCTCCATGAGAGTGAAATGAGCATATTTCCAAAATGTCAAACTATTCTTTCAATCATGATATCTCATAAGAGATTGCCCTGTTCTCTACTCTGTTTGTTAATCGATTCCGAATGATCATGTAACAAAATGCTAGAAATATTTTATGTAAGTAATAATATGCAAATATGTAGACCAAATGCAAAATATGACTTAGAAAAAAAAAGACATGTCCATGGTCTGCATTAGAGCGTGTTGTAAAGATGTAGCATGTTAAGCAAAAAAAAAAAAAGAAATCAAGTCAGAATTGTCACAATTTGTTTTTTCAATGCTGACAGATCAAAAGGGCAAAGGTATTGGTCTCGCTGTAACTTATCATCCCTTTATATTGAATCAGACTATAGTCTGGTTATAGCTGGTAGCACATTCCAGTCTACCACAACTGGAACAAGTTTTCTTTAGATAGTTATCTCTGATGCTGCTTTGGAGAGGGAGTCATGTAGAAACTTAACCTATCGTGAGCAGATAACATCTGTGCTGTCTGGAGCTATGCTCTTAATCTGTTGGACACATGAAATTAAATTGTTTAAGGCCATAATTTGATGTTCAAAAAAGGAGCTGTTTTGACAGGAAGGAAGAAAAAGTGGTTTTGTGAATAAGGATGCTGAATTACCACAACTAAAGTCAGTTTCATTAAATGTTGACAATCACAGGAAAACTTCAGCAAAACGGTAGAGCCTTAGAGGGACACAGGAAATAGGGAACGAATGCAAAGAGTTGGGAAAAGGAGTCAGGGCAGGGGTGAGGAAAGGGAGAGGGGGCCAGTGAAGGGTACAGCTTCTTGCCTCCTCATGTCCTGATCTAACCTTTTACTTTTTGTGAGGCTGAATTGGCCTTAGAGCAGACCCCTAGGCAAATAGTCTAGCCTCTGCAGTATGTCAGCCATACAAACTCAGACACACACACACACACACACACACACCCACACACAAAATAAAGCAACCAAACTGGTTTTGACTGCTGCAGGTCAGAGCTATGCTGTATGTCACAGAAGCAATGTGTAAACCTTAATGCGTCCGTCATCTCCTCAGGTCCTTCGCAGTCACAACACGCCTCCATGAACAAGCACTGGCTATAGCTAATAAAACCTGAGCTGATAATACTAACACCACAGCCCCTCCCTCAGTAATATTTGCATGCCATTCTCCAGTTTAACCACTCCGACCCTACATCATGAAGCCTTAGTGCAAATTTGCACAGCTTGTATCCCATAATCATGTTAATATTTGAGTGCACACACACACACACACACACACACACACACACACACGTTGTCAAAGTTGGAGCAGGCAAATAAAATCAGAAATCTGCGGTTGGTATGTGAAACACAGAGAGCAGAGAGTAAAAGCACGGGACTGACAGAGAAGTCATTGTGAGGTTGTCAGAGAAGATGAGAGAGGACAGAGGCTTTAGGGGTGGGTGGGAGGTCTACCTCTGAAGGGGAAACTTAAATGAGTGGGAAAAGAGTAGCATGGCCTGCTGGGAAAGAATGTCAGACAGCCGTATATGGGTCAGAGCTATCTTTTAAGTCCCTGTGGCCTGCACAGTGTGGTGGGCTGCCGTTCTGCTGTGGAGGGTCACACAGTCACTGCCTGTAGACCTTTGAACTCTCCTGGCATGTGTGTTGGGGAAAACATGAAACGCAGCTTTTGTTTGTCTTTGTCACACTTCTAATTAAACTCAAAGAGATCAACAGGACTTAACTGTTTTTCTGTCTGAAGGTATGGTAGTTGGGAAAGTCTGAGCCAGCGTGTATGACTGTGGGCCAAACATTTGTTTGATATACATTTATGTCATTAAAGGGAACATATGTCATGTTATATGCGGATTTCCAGTCTCTAGTTTTGATAGTTAATGTAGTCATAAGTAATAAATTACTCAATGCGTGCTTTACTGACAGAAAACTGAGTGCCATCAGTGCCTACATGTACCAGAATGCATTGCACACAAGCTGGTATCACCACCCTCGCCTGGCTTGTAGCTATTACTTTGCTGTCCAAATCATAGCATTAGGTGACAAAAATAGTCACTCAGTAATCATGTGCCCTGCTGGTCTTGGTTGTCTCTTTCAGTTTATCTTTGGGATCTTAAAGAAGGTCTCCAGCACACCTCTGCCCAAGTGAGGCGTAAAATGTTCATGCATAGTAGCGCACAAATGGCCTCTCTTGGGGTTGGCCTTCAATAAAAACGTTTGGTTATCTAACATAACCGCAGTTCTTAGAATAATATGAGCGAGGTGTCTCACTATGGGATGTAGCCTCCTGCAGCCCTGATAGAAGTATTTATCTCAATCCGCCAATCTCCCCTGAATAAAGCCCAGGATGCGGCCATCCTGCGGGTAGAGTGCGCACGCAAACCCGCCGGCGGCTGCAGACCCCTGCTCGTATATGCCAAAGCTATAGCCTATAGCTTTTTTTTGTTATCTGCACTCTCGGCTCGTGGCCTGGCTGTGACAGATTTCGTTTTATTTTCACAGTTTTGGGAACATGTGTGTATGTGTGTGCTTGTGGACATGTGGCTCGGGGCGCAACAGCGCAAACCTCCGAGGCGATGTCTCTCCTCTTGCCGACCGGCTCTGGAGTGGGCAGCGGAGGCGTGGGACGCACACGAACAAGCCAAAACGGTGGGCCTGCGTAACGGCAGGATGCTCCACCCGGAGAGAGGATGGCTGTCAGGCCGCTCTCTTTTTCTTCCTCGCCTGGGGGACCGAGGCCGCGGCGGTCGGGGGCGGTGGCGGTGGGACTGCGGTTGGGGCGGGAGACTTTCTGTGCCAGCCGGCTCCGGGGCTCCTTCCTTGGCGGGAGGGGCAGGCCGGGCTGTTGCAGCCGCTTCAGGATCTTGAAATATGGCGGCTGGGAAGCAGCTTGAGCAAATGATTTGCGCTGCACTGGAGGAGAAGGCGTGGATGCTTTGCAGGGGAGACAAATTTTCAGGGCTTCGTTGTCCTTCTTTTTTGCCTCACATCTCTGCTGCATTGTGGCCAATGCAGAGCCAAAGATACACTCCGGGACAATTGGCATATCCAGTATGTCATCCCGCTCCCTGTCAGTCAAGTTAGCGAGGCTGAGCCATCTTGCTCGCTCCTGAATGACGAGGGTTGCCATCACCTTGCCCGTGGCCTGGACTGAGACGCACTGGATGCAGAGGGATAAATCAGCGATGACCGCCATTACCTCCCACGCGTCAGGGTCCTGCTCGTCAGCGGACGCCCCAAACAGCTCTGCCTGGTAGGCAGTGAGGATGGAGAGAGCGCTGAGAGCTCTGGCCGAGAGCGCGGCTGCCTTGTACGCCCTCTCGGTCAGTGCAGACTGGAACCGCTCGGGCTTGGTTAGCAGCATTGGATGCCTGAAGGAGGCCGCAGATAGCTGGCTCGTGCTGCCCGGGCAGAGATGCGCAGCTATGGGGGCTTCCACCGGCGGTATCGAGAGGAGGCCCTGGGCTTCCATCGCCTCGCAGTCGAGGGATGCTGCGCCCAGGATGGGGCTCCTATTGCTGTACGGGCAGTTACTCCAAGTTTTGGACAGCTCGGCCAGCAACTCGGGGAAGATAGGGAGAAGCTGTTTCACCGCACTACAGGCCAGGGAGAACCGCTTGCCTTCGTAGCGGGACTGGGTGGGCTCCGCTACTGCAACCGGCTAGGGGACCTCCAGCTTCTCTGCCGCACGTTTACACATGTCGAGCAGGTCCACATGGAGGGAGGGAGCTGGAGAGCTCACCCCGCTTTCCTCCCTGTTGGTAGTGGGCAGCTTCAGCTTTTCAGCCGGGACTGGAGCCACGAAGATGTCGTCTTCCTCCTCCTCGTCTGATATGAGGAACGAGGTGTCATCTTCATCCGCCGTGATGCTAATCTCCAGCACGTCTGCTAACGGAGAAAAGGGCCGTGGCTAGCTGGTGTGCTAGTGTGGGGTCGAGAGGAGTAGCTGGTACACTAGCTTAGCTTGACCGACTCGAGCGTCTGTGGTGGGGAGCCGAGAGGAATTCCGCCGCGGAGGGGCTGGAAGAAAAAATACTTACCGGTCCGGTCTGGTGTGCTCCGATGTGAGATAAGCTCTCAGGTGAGAAGAGATTTTGAATTGAGGGAGCGTCATCCGCGCACACTATATATAGTAGGTGGGACTACTGGGTGCGGCGCGGATGAACACCTTTCACCAGCCAATCAAGATTGGCAGATTGAGATAAATGCTTCTATCAGGGCTGCAGGAGGCTGCATCCCATAGCGAGACACCGAGTGAATATTATGAAGAACTGCACACGCTGAAATTCATTGTAGCAGAATGGTTCAGTTTGCGTTGCCATCAGAGGGCAATTTGAGCAAAGGCACCAGTAGTCAGTGTTTGCTCTCTGCAGCTCAGGTTCTGGAGGGTCCCTGCTGGCCATATCCTCTTGCATGGCCAATGCAGTTGCAACGTCAGTTCCTCTTCCATAATATTTCCTGCACTCATATTTTGGAATGCCATTTTAACTGTTCCCATACCTGGCCCTGGATAAGCAGATGAAAATGTATTTATGTATGTATGTATGTATGGTTATATGGATGGATGGATGGATTTTCACTGTTGGAAAAATAGCTAGTTTGCAAAACAAGTGAAGAGAACAAGACAAGTTCTGTTTTTGAGTGGCATGTAGAGCACACCCTCAGTTCAAGCTAAAATTGCTTGTACGTCAGTGTCACATCGAATGACGTCACTGGATGCATGAGGAACAACAGGTTTTGCAGCTGTGAACTTCACTTTCACAGTCAATGTAGCACACAGAGAAGAATGTATCACTTCAATTGACTACATTAACCAACAATGCTTATTGGACATCCACATAAAAGGTGTCAAATGTTCCCTTTATCTTTGGTTTGACATGATATTTTATTTCAAACCATCTATTGATAATTTGATTATTGGGCTGCTGAAGATATAAGGAAAACATGTAAATAATAATGAGCCAAAAATATTCAGATCGGCAGTGATAGCATTTCTTTAATATTTAGCCTTTTTTATTAGAGTGCATTAACTAATACGTCTTAAAGGAATAGTGTATCCAAAAAGGGAGAAAATGACTTAGAATTCATCAAAGGGCTGCCTGTGTGTACAGTATAAGGTCTTCCAAAATAGTGCGGTCCAAGGCTTAATATCAGTAAAAAAAAAGATGCACCACTAGCAAATGAAACTAGAGGAGTTGTGCAAGTCAGTTTCACTTATTTCATGCCTAATACTAGTTAAGAGGAACTTCTTAATTCTAAATTCTTAAATGGTTTGTCCATTTAAGCCCCACACATGTAAATACTACATTGCTTTGTTACCACAAATCTATTTATGTTATCTACAGTTTTTGAACAGTGGTAAACAGTAAATTTAATCTCTACATTTATGCTGAGAAAAGTCCAGAGATATAAAAAAAATAAACCTAAAATTTCAGTTGGATATGAAGGGGTTACATTATATCAAGCTTGTGTATATATTCGTACCTAATGACCACTTTGCAGCTGTTAGATGGCAGTGGGAAACTATAAACATAGCCTATGCAAAGGTCATCTGGGTATGTAGCAGTGGATGATGAATAATTAATCTCTGCAGTGAAGAAGTGTCCTTTGTAATGCATCTATCCTGAAGGTAATGCGATGAATGCACACATCCAGTTGCGGCCTGTTGTGGTAGATGATATCAAAATTGTCCACATATATGTTGGAGGAGAGAAGGCCGTAACATTTTAGCATAGAAATACTTTGGACTCTGGTGTCAGCCGTGACACAAGTCTCTGCCGTGACCGTCCAGTCAGATCTGAGTCATCTGGGCAAATGTCCACTGAAACTAGGCGGGAGTGTAGGACCCAGCGGTGCACTGCGATGCGAGGGTGGAAAAACAGAGAGAGGGAGAGGGATGTGGTGGGAAGGAAGGCGAAACGGAGGGGTGAAGCATCGGGTTACAGTGTACATTCCGCCCAGACGCCATGTCGCCCAAACAGAGGAACTCACTGGCTAAATTCACCAGACAAGGGCAGGTCTATTATACTGTAGTGCTGATGCACCGTCTTATAACACTGCATTCCATTAGTCTCCACATCTTACATAACACTTCTCATTTACGGCTTTTAAAGGTGATTTTCGTAGCATGAATATTTTATGATACTGCATCAATGCATTAATTGATTCTTCCTCTTTTACTGATTGGCTTTTGTTATATTTTTCTATTGACAACCTGGACTGAAATAACAGGTTAAGACACTAGCTTATGTTTCATACACCATTTGACACCTTTTGTGTATAAATGGATCAAGCACACAGTAAGTTCCCTTAGAAGTCAAAACTTCTATTTGCAAGTCAGACATCACTAGTGACAACACCTTAGGCTTTGTTTGAGCCAAAAATACCCGAGAGCAGAGCTGTATTTAGTAGAGAGGTGTGTGTTTGTGTATTTGTTAGTCTTTGTGTATGTGCGTGTGGTAAAGACAGGCCTGGAACAAATTGTTTTTGGCCCTGGGGTGCTGTCTCCTGTCCTCTCTGTTGAAAGCAACGCCAAGGGAACAGAGTTACTGTACAACAGCCTTCACCGGCAGACAAAGTCAGAACGGTGGAGGCGGACAGAGATTTCTGTGACACTTAAGAGCACATTGAAAAGACACAATTGATTGCGTGAAGGAGTATGTGTTCATGTTTACACCTGTAGTCAGTCACGCAACCTCAGGAAGTGTGTCAGGATTGGTATGCAGAGGTAGGAGTAAATTCCTTTTGTTGCCCTATAGTAACCTCATATGCTATTGACCCTGTTCTCTGTATTCATATTTGTCCCTGCAGGTATGGCAAGATTGTGTCGACCAAGGCCATCTTGGACAAAACCACCAACAAATGTAAAGGTGAGTTAAACTGTTGCCTTAATTTATCCCACTGGTTTTGGCTGTTTTGTTTGTTTGTTTGTTTTAAAGGGAGTATGTCAACATACTCACTTAATTGCTGAGAGTTAGATGAGAAGATTGGTGTTTTTTATACAAACTTTGAAGTTACATCCAGGAGTTGGTTAACTAAACTTCGCCTAAAAACTGGGGATAGGGGGAAAGAGTTAGCTAAAGTTTAAGACCACCTACCAGCACCTCTAAAGCTACTAAATTAACATCTGATATTGTGTTTGTTAAATTTGTAAAAAAAAATCTTTGAATGAAGTCAGGTTAGCTGTTTCCAGTCTTTTTGATAAGTTAAGCTAACTGTTGCCTTCTTCGGGAAGCTGGCCGTTTCCTCCTGCTTTAATGCTAAGCTAAGCTAACAGCCACTTTCTTTGGGCAGAGTCCAGCTAGCTGTTTCCCCCTGCTTCAAGTCTTTATGCTATGCTAAACTAACTGTCATCCTCTTTGGACAGAGTCAGACCAGTGGTGTGTCTCAAATCACAAAGTTTCCGTTAGTATACTTCTATGTAGTATACTATGTGCACTATGTACTAATTGGCGTAGTGCGTAAATTTCGACAGGGTAGTGTTGTCTCAAACCAAGCACGGCCGTTGTGCACTCACTGGAAATGACGGGAGCGTATCTATGTTTCCAGGGTTCTATGTTTCCCGGGTTCTATGTTCCCCACTTAACCCTGCAAAAAAGGTTCTATGTTCCCTGCTTACACAAAAAAGGTTATATGTTTCCCGGGTTCTATGTTGCCCACTCAACCATGCGACTGTTTTTGTGTAAGCAGGGAACATAGAAGCTTTTTTGCAGGGTTAAGTGGGGAACATAGAACCCGGGAAACATAGAACCCTGGAAACATAGGGATGACCCCGAAATGACGACCGCAAATTAGCTAGTTAGCAGACTAGCATTAGCATTCGCGTTATCGTTCGCAGTACCAAATCATTACAGACTGCTTAATTAACCCAATAAACATACTGCTGGATTATACCCGACAACAGTATAGTGGTGCTTAGTACAAAAACACATGTATTTGTACAATGCAGCGACGTTCACGGTTGCACAGTCCTTGGCCCCCATTTCCAGTTTGAAAAGTGGTCCTTCCCCTTCCGCTACATAGCCAAGATGGCGACCATTGAGGGCAAGAAGTGTCCATAGTTCCACACTCAACTTCTTGACCGTTTTGAGTGCACATTCTGGGTACTCATAGTGCACTGCATTTTTCCATACTTCTCAGTGTGAATGCACTTATGCACTCATAATATTATGTGTATGTACAGAAGTGCGTGATTTGAGACACAGCATAGCTGTTTACCCCTGCTTCAAGTCTTTATGCTAAGTTAGGCTAACTTCGCTAAGCTTTGCCTTCTTTCAACTCATTTAGGCTAGCCATTTCCCCTTGCTTCCAATCTTTATGCTAAGATAAGCTAACTTTCATCCTCTTTGGACAGAGTCAGACTAGCTGTTCCCCCATGCAGGGCTGCCAAGTTTCAGAAAATGACAAGAGTGAGACTTTAGTGTCATGATGCGTTCGGAAACATTTTTTTTAACATCGATTTGGCCTGTTTTAACGTCGATTTATACCTTAAGACTGATGTCCTCACCTCCATGCCAGCGGCTCTCCCTGCACTGTGGCCTCCTAATGCTAGTTTTACAGTGGTTCTCAAAGTGGATTCCAGGGACTCTGTGGATTCCTTTCGGGGGGTCCAAATTGACCCTTACAAGGTCTGTACAAATGGACCCCAATGGGTCCATTTGGTTCCATTTGTACACTGTCAGAGTTAAGGATAGACCTTGAAATTTAGAATTTTGAGAAACACTGCTTTAGGAGGGTCTAAATTGATATTTACAAGTCTGTAACTCTAACACACACACACACACACACACACACACACACATTGAGACTAACGTAACGAGTCTCTTTTTCAAGTGTGAACTGGCCAAGAGAAAAGGCAAATAAATGTTACACAGCTCTGCAACAAATACAGGACAATGATAGACTTACAGCAGCCTTAAAACAGTACATATTAACTAGGAAACTCAAGGAGAAACAGCGAATCAACAGTGAACAAAATTGGGTAGTTACCTACCGTCCGTCTTCTAGCAAGCAGGAGAACGTCGAGTGGGTTTTAAATGTCGGCGCTGTTGTGTGTGAAAGATAGTTAGAGACACCAAGACCCGCCTTACGTTGCTTCTGATTGATTTATATTGCGTGGTGCCTTCCGTGGTTGGTTAGATTTAGGCACAAAGGACTGATGGATTGGTCTGGGATTGGTTATCTCGGTCAGTCAATCAGAGTTACTCGAACTACAGTAAGCCGCGAGGACCAAAGTTTATTATCATGAAAAAAATAAATATAGAGTATTGAATGGGGAAATATAAGCATGAGAAATGTCAAGTGTGGCGTGTGGTGTGAGAATGGGTCAAATTGCGTGACTGTCACACTCAAAGCGTGACGCTTGGCAGCTCTGCCCATGCTTCCAGTTGCTATGCTAAGCTAAGGTAACTGTTGTCTTCTTTAGACAGAGTCAGGCTAACATTAACCATTTCCCTCTGCTTTCAGTCTTTGTGCTGAGATAGGTAAGCTGTCACCTTATTTTGACAGAGCTGACCAGCTGTCTTTTTCTAAGCTAGCGTAACTGTCACCTTCTTTTGACAGAGTCAAGCTAGCTGTTGTTCCCTGTTTCCAGTGTTTTTTCTAGGCTAAGCTAACAGTCGCTCCTTTGGACTCAGTCAGGCTAGTTGTTTCCCACTGCTTCTAGTGTTTATAAGCTAAGCTAACTGTCGCCTTATTTGGACTCAGTCAGGCCAGCTGTTTCCCCTTGCTAAGCTAACTGTTTCCAGGATTTAGCTTCATATTTAACAGACAGATATGAGAGCGGTATTGCTCTTCTTATCTAACTCTCAACAAGAAAATACACAACTCCAAACAAAATAACACTGCAGCAAATTTAATATGTGTTTGTTTATTTTACAGGATATGGCTTTGTGGACTTTGACAGTCCAGCAGCAGCACAGAAAGCTGTTACAGCTCTGAAGTCCAGTGGGGTCCAGGCTCAGATGGCCAAAGTAAGAATTAATACTTGATCAGCTCTGTTATACAGCCTGCACTTCTTTTACCCTCAGATTTACCAGTAACCACTGGGTTAATCTCTCTGGCCCTTCTCTATCATGTATTGATCTCCAAAGAAAAACTTTGACCACTAAGAGTCATAGTCCTTTTCTCCACAAGCACACACTCACCCTCTCTATCATGTGAAAGGTAACATGCAGTGGCCTGATTGGCAGCGAGTGTCCTGTTGGCAAGGGTGCAAGACTCTGGTTTATAGGGAGGCGTGTGTTCTGTTTTACTTAGTTGGCTGAAACTGTGCTAATAATCAACAGTTTTAAGTCTGGCTTAATGCAGATTTGTTACAAGCAAAATGACATCACTTTTTGTTAATTCACCACTCTCTTTGCTTTGTTAATCCTTTCAACATCGTTTTGTCCCCTCTTTCTTCATCGCTCTCCTCGCCACCTTCTCTCTCCTCTCCCTTCACACCCTCGTCTCTGTGCTTGTGTATGTTGCTAACCTGCTACTGTTGTAGCACTTGTTCCGAGCTCTTTGTCCAAGTGTCTGCAGTCAAAGCAACTCTTGTCGGCCCATTAAGCTGATCCCTCTGGCTCTCAGGCTCCCCATTGAGGGAACCCAGGGGAGGGTGCTACTACATCCACTGTCAATGGGACAGGCACAATGGGCTGGCATTGTCCATCGTCTGGGCCCAGGCCTGGGGCTGACACCAGCACTTAATACACTCCACCTCAGTGTCCCTGCCCCCCTTCCCGTGTCCTGCACCCAAACAGACCCACTGCAATGTAACACCAGGGTCTCCCTCAGCCCAGCCCCGGAAAACTGTAACAGATCCACGCTGCCAGCTGACCTGAACGAGTCCAGTGCAACTAAACCCCGGAGTCTAAGTTCTCTCCACCTCCTCTGTAAGAGTGCCACACAATCCTGTGTATCTCAATACCCGACAACTGCAACCGGACACCAAGACTCGCCTCACCCAGACAACATGTGCTTAGTCAGAGGTGTTGATAACCACTATAAAAACCTAAATATACACAGCTGTTTGAGAGTCACTGGGTTACCTCAGGTCAGGAAAAACAAGCAGTAGTCTGAAATCAGTTTAATATCAAACTCGCAAGTGCATCTTCACCTGTTTGCACCTTCACCATGGCTGCTGCAGAGTGTTGTTCACAAACAGAAGGAGCCACACCTTGCACTCACGTCCTCAGAGTATGCTCTGTCCCCAAGCGGGCCACCCTAGCTCCAAGGCTGCGGGCCCAGAGGAGCAGCGTGCACAAGGGGCAGGGGAACCATGGCAGAGTTAAAAATAGATCCCTTCTTACTTCCCAGCACCTCCCTATTCAACCTCAGACGTCAGCTTGCGCACACTGCTCGACACAAACAGGCAAATACACAGAGACACACCTCAACAGGCATGGCTCGCCTCGGGCCTGGTGCACAAAAAAAAAGAAAGATTGCACTCAGCAAACCCCACTCGCATGTGCCTGGGATGGGTCCAGCAGCGTTTTCATATCTACAACAGGATGAATATTTGCTTGGATGTGAAATAGGATAGTGTGTGTACTAGCTGAGGTAGATGAAAGGATGTAAAGGGAGGGAGTTTTTCCTTTGTGATGTGGGCTTGAACTCCAGTAATCTCATCTGGCCCATGACCTCCTGCAGTGTGCCACCATGTTACATAACGGCCGTATTGCCGCACCCATAAATGACACCAATCACAGAAAATAGGTTATCTCTTCGCCAGGTGGCTCACGGCTGAGAGTAGATGCCACTCATAAAGGCAGTAAATCTTCATTTGAGATAGCTGTTTGACTTACATCTGACACTTTGAAAACCTGCAGTTTGCAGAGCTATGTGATAGCAGCGTGCGTCTGGAAGAGGGGACAAAATGGAAAATGATAGCGCTAAAAGATATTTTGATGGAAGAGAAGAGCCTGTTAATCAGCAGGCACTCATTTATCCTCTTTTCCTTTTTTCTCTGCTCTTTTCTGTCATCCTCCTCTTTCATTACCCAAATTATTCAAGACTCCCACTACTTCCTATCGTGTCAGTTCCCTCATGCTGCACTAAATATCAGCCTTTTAAGCTTTGCATTTCTCCCACCCTCCCTCTCCTCTATCCTCTTCCTTCACTCTCTGTTTTCCCTTCCCTTTATTTTAGCCCAGCCTCTTTTCTCCCGGTTGCCAGGCTCCTGTTGCTCTCTGAACTCCTTAACTTCATGCCTGGCTTCCCGTCTGCTTCTTCGCAGTCACACAAGGTTTCACTTTCAAGCTAGTGCCGCAAAATGAGTCCCTGAATAATCTCTTTGCTTGCAGCACTCCACATCTCTTAATTAGACAACATTCCTCCCAAATACATGACTTAATCTTTGCAGACAAATTCATATTTGCATGTGTCAGTATATTTATGTGTGCAATGTGTCAACTTTTAAAAACCAGACAGCCTCCGTTGAGCAAATGACACATGCACCACATGGGTCAAATTATTCAGGCTTTCAGTTTATTGGTACTAATTGCTTAAAAACATTTTATCCGTATCGGGTCCTATTAAAAAATTATGCTTGACATGGTGCACGCATATGATGAAGTATTTAATGTGCCAAGAGCAACGGCAGGTGTTGATGGAAAGACAGGTCACACTGCTGCCTACACAGGAATTTCTGCAGTGTGAAAAAGATTTTTGACTGTGATAAGAAATTTCCATCTGCAAATGCAAATGCATTAGGTTTTCAAGTGTCTGCAACACTTGCACCAACATACATTTGTACTGTAATGAAACATAAAGAATCCTATCTCATCGTGTAGATCCAAAAAAAACAAATCAGTACGTGAACTGATTTGCATGTTCATTTCCTGCACAGCAACAAGAGCAGGACCCCACCAACCTCTACATCTCCAACCTGCCAGTGTCTATGGATGAGCAAGAGCTAGAGAGCATGCTCAAGTCCTTTGGCCAGGTCATTTCCACACGCATCCTCCGAGATGCTAACGGGACCAGCCGCGGCGTGGGGTTTGCCAGGTCAGACATAATATACTACTCCATGGTGGTGTTTGGTGATTTGAGTGTGGTTTGTGCTGTAAATAAAAGCTAGTCTTTGCCCAATCCTAACGTAAACAGCACTCCACAAGCAGGATTAAATTTGACTTTGAGCCTGTTTTTCAGAATGGAATCCACGGAGAAGTGCGAGGCCATAATTCAGCATTTCAATGGCAAATTCATCAAGACTCCACCGGGAGTGCCTGGTGCGTGGAATGTTTGTTTTGTATTACGGGAACCTGATATTGTTGTTGTTGGTGCCAGAGCTCAGTGTTTTTGTTCCCCACCGTGACCATTGAATCCACTCTCCTGTTTGATCTGTTGCTTTCACAGTGCCCACAGAGCCCTTATTATGTAAGTTTGCAGACGGAGGCCAGAAGAAGAGGCAGAACCAGGGGAAGTACCTCCACAATGGAAGGCCCTGGGCTAGAGATGGAGATACGGTAAGATGGCCACTTTTAACTCTTTCCTAAAGGCAACTTCCTGTGTTCAGATGTTACATTTCCTGTTGGAAATTCAAGCAAGTGCATCATTTTTCGCTCTGTGCTGGCTGGACGGTTTTAGCACAGACTGCACCGGTGTGTGCATGACCTCACTGTTTCTGAATCCTGTGTATTGTTTTCCCAGGGAGGAATGACGCTTGCGTATGACCCCACAGCCTTACAAAATGGGTGAGTGGTATGCACAGACTGACTGAAAACAGTCCCAACCCTCCAGGAAAATAGGAGTCGTACTCAAACTATAGTAAAGTGCTGCCCTCTGCTGGGCACTACAGGAAAACAGAAATGCTATTAATGTAGGTGGAGACTTACTGTACTGCAGATTGGTGACACAGTGTGGCTGTTTACATGTTTTCGTGTTTTCTCTTTGGCAGCTTCTACTCCTCACCCTACAGTCTGGCTCCAAACCGAATGATCGCCCAGACTTCTCTCTCACCTTACATGCATTCTCCTGTCTCATCCTACCAGGTGGGACATCTCACTGTGTTTATAATTCAAATACTGACTTTTGGAGTAAATGTATGTTAATGCCAAGACTTTCTGTGCAGACAGTCCTTACTATGTCCACATTATGTTAGTTCAGCAGACACTCAGGGAAGACCACAGCCCACACTACTGAAAATGTTGCTCAGGTTTTCATGACCGCTCAGACTTACATACTAAGGGCTCTGAGGGGACTGTGTAAGCAACAGCAGTGCATCACAAATAAGTCTGACATGTTTCCTGATCTATAGGTACACAGCCCGTCCTGGATGCACCATCAGTCATACCTCATGCAGCCAGCTGTGAGTACCCCTCCTCAGTATCAGTATCGCTCATATACCCTATTTACACTTTGCGTTTACACTTTTTGGTGGAGCTCTCGAAACTATTTTGGACGCTTTATAGAATTTCCGCCATACTGACCCTGGTCCTGACCCCTTAAGCCCTGGCTGTTTGACGTAAAGTGTACTAGTGCAGGGGAATCTCCACAGACACCTGACAGCACCACCCTGGTATACTGCGAAGTACAGAGAGCTTTTCCTGTTGGCTGTTGTCTTAATCAGCATCGTGTGAACTCGTTTGGCAATGGCTTGAATGTAACAGAAGTTCATTTATATGTAAAAGTCCTGCACTCCAGTTTTAACTGTAGTCTCTGACATATTTGTGTATGTTTTGCTCTCATGTGATGGATTTTAAACACACGTGATTCAGACTCTGGACTTTATGTTTGTGTGTGTCTCTGTGCATTCATAGGGTACAGTTCTTACCCCGACAATGGATCACGCCATGTCCATCCAGCCCACATCCATGATGGGACCTCTTGCCCAGCAGCTAAGCCACCTGTCCCTGGGCAGCACGGGCACAGTCAGTACCAATCACACACACACACACACACACACACACACACAATGGACAAGGCAGTAAATTGCCCTCATAGCTAACTGTCCTGACATTCACGAGATCAATTATTGATGTCAAATACTACACACAATTTGTGTTTTCCTCTCTGCCTTCCCTACAGTATATTCCGGCCAACACAACTATGCAGGGGACCTACATCCCCCAGTACACCCCAGTGCCTCCCTCCAGTGTCCCAGTAGAGGTATGAAGCTAGTCTCAACCTCAGCTGCTTATATTTTATATTTCCGTGATGGGGATGACTAATAATTAAAACTCTTATAAGGACATATTTACTAAAACTTGACACATCTGTGTGCTTAAAAAAAGCTGCTGCTTTTAGCACGTCAGATCTTATTTGTGTGTATTTTAAGGAGTGGCAGAGTTAAGGCACAACAGTAGGTGGAGTTGGTTATTAATACTCCCTACTGACTGTTTTACTGAGCTGGACAGTGTCCATGTGCCCTGAAGATGTGTCTGGTATTTAATGACAGGTAGGAGCTGACGTAGTGGCTGTGAGGACTTCTGTAGTATTCTATAAATACAAATGTATAATGTACAATGTATATCAGAGGTTTTGATGATGTGATGATGATTTTTGGATGCCAGAAAGTGATGTGGTGTGAAAACAGTATAGGTGATCATGTCCTGTTTTGAAAGATAAAACCGAGACAGGAGTCATGCCATTTCTGAGGTGGTCTTCACAGAAATTTGATAGGACAGATTTTACATCTTTATTAGCAGTCTAGAAGACTTTAATTTTGTTTTTTTGTTTTTTTAGAGTTTCTCTTTTAAATATTTGTATTATAGAAAGCTTTTCACAGCAAACATATTTACATTGTATATTAGCACATGCTGATATGCAGAATTAAACTGTGTAAAGAATGTCTTTCTGTCTTCTTTCTTTATCTTTGAATAATTCATGAAAACTCTTAATTATTTAATGAATGTATTAATATATATTGTATTTTCCCCACATAATTTTCCTCCAGTGTACTGTCCAAACAATTTGTCTATATTAGCTCCTCCATTATTCAACCCAGAGAGCCTTTGCCACTCGTGAATGAGAGACAGACTCATTTTATGGAGACGTTTGGCACAGACTGCACAGTGTGTGTGCTCCGGTGCTGTAGCAGGTTCCTGGCTGAGCACTCTGCAGGAAGGCGGCTGAGCCCGCGGGGAATCTTGAGTCATTTGTAGGAAGGTGGAGCACAGTGATTGTGGTGGGAGCCACAGACAATGAATGGAAAAAAGAGCAGGTTTATGAATGGGAAGAGGCACAGTAGTAGGCCAGGGTGAGCTGAGGGTGTGATTGGATGGAGAGGGTGGAGTAGCGTGACGGATGTGAGGGTAGAATTGAGTCAGTCTCATTGATGAACTTCAGCCACTCCTTTAATTATAATACAAGGTAAAATATTAAGCATACCTTTTAGTAAATACGTCCTAGAGTACGCACTGGCTTTAAGTTAACAGATTTCACGTGTTTTACTTTGGGTCATCCACTCAAAAAAGTGTAATGTCCTTAGCGTGGTGGGGAGGGCAGGGGGAAAATACAGGCTTTCTTTTTCTTTGTATCTTTTAATCTGTTAAAATAACACATTACCATTAATTATCAAGTATACTATTTTTGAATAATTTGTCCTCTGTCCATCTTTTTTTAGGAAAATGGTGGTCAACAGCAACAGGTTGCCATGGAGACTCCTGCAGAACACACAAACTACTCATACCAACACACCAAGTGAAGCTAAGGTAGGACAGTGAAAGTTTCTCTGCTGTGTCCTGCAAATTAGACAAACGTAGGCCGATGTTTTTAAAGCACTTAAACTGCAAAGTCATGAGAGGAATACTTCACCAACAAAATTATCATTTGTATATCAGTCGATTGTCCCGTGTTACGCTGAATTCATGAAGAAAACTTTGTTTTTCTGGCATGCCTCCATGGTTAAGGATAAATCCAATCCATGTCTCTTTTATAATGGTGGCGTATATAATGGTGGGGAAAATGTTTTTTGAGCCATAGGGGATATTTTTCCAGGTTGAGCAGCGTTCCTGGGGGCCTGATTATACTGCATGAGTTGTGAGAGAGTTTGATAGATGTTTTCATATAGTTTGGCTGTAGCTAAACACAGACCTCTTTTACCTAAATCCATCAAGAGCTTTCTCCATTTTGGATTCTTTGTTCACCACTGATGCATGCGAAAAAGTTTTCTTAAAAATTCAGTGTAACACAGGGTGAGTGATTGACATGCAAATGATCATCTTGTGAGTGAAATATTCTTTTTAGGTCACTGCTGCATTAAAACCTGCTAACATGGATGTGCATGCCCGATAGTACATGAAGGTTATGAATTAATTCAAAAGGATATATTGTACGTGTTCAAGGTATAGGAATGATTGAGCAGGTTCAGTGTGTCATTACTGACTTGTGTGCGTCAGCTCCAGCAGGGTGGGGCCGAGGGCACGAGATGAATCCAACCAAACAGGATTCAGCTGGAAGAGAACTGTGCTCTGTGACATCACCAAGCACCCGGACTTGAACATGGATAACAAAAGGAACATGTGTGCTTGTGTTTGTGTGTACGTTTGTTTGTGTGTGTGTGTGCACATGCGTGCGTGTGTGTGTGTGTGTGTGTGTGTGTGTGTGCGTGTGTGTAAATGTCTGTATTTTTTTCTTTTTCTTTTTTTTTTTTTTTTTAAGAAAACGGACAACACTTACATCATTGGACTTTCCTGATCACATCCTCAAGCGTTGATCAACCAAAGGTGGGAATCTTCTTCACAGAAGCTTTGATCTATTTTGATAACTGAAAAAAAGGAACACAAGAAGTTAAAAAAAAAAAAAATGGAAAAAAAAACTTAAGAGCGGAGGAAAAGACACAGAGCATTATTTTTGTGCACGTAATATAACAAATTCTTATTTTTTAAAAAAAGCATTCTGGACGTTTCAGGGTGATTCAAGGAAGAGTTGAAACACAATGTGTCTTTTATTTTTTTGTAAAATATGCAAACTTTTATTTTTATTTCCTGATGTCTGTTGTTTGATGTTCTATTTGCAGCAGCGGGGGTAACAATTTGTACAGATTTAAAAAACTTACAAAACACTTTTGCTGGTCTGATGTGTCGGGTCATTATTACCGCGGGGAGGCAAACCGTTTAAAGCTACTTCTTCCTGTAACTGCTGCAGAGATTTCTATTCACGCACAGATGTTATATAATAATAACATTGACTATTTATAGTTTCATCAAATTCTTTTTTTTAAACATTCTTCCATAAGTGAACAAAAGACAATCAATTATTTCTATTTATATTTGAATTATAGTTCTATTTTTTAGAGTTTTTAGATCATTGAAACATACATTTATAGAAAAGACGTTATTTAATACTGTAGTCTATGATGATGAAATGGACTTAACCCCATGCATTAATGATGAGCTCTAATATTTTGGCTCATGAAAATGATTCTTTAGTAGTTTGAGTCCTGTGTGCGCCATGAAAGAAGACAAAATGACACCTGTTCATACTAATAGTCGTCCTGTTTTGTTAGAGTGTAACTCCACGTTACATCCATGTCCATGAGAAGTGGTTTTAAGCGGTTTCGCTGTGGCAAACTTTCAGGTATCATTAAATTCATCCTCCGTCGAAGGGATGAAGTGAACATGCTTTAGATCTGAGCAGTTAGATTACTGAAAGATTATGTGTACAAAGAACATTGCAGTTACTAAATTAAGATATAGTTTAGCAAAAGCGATGAGGGAAATCAAATAGAAGACTAACACCATCCCTGAGAATTATTAGTTTGAAAGGAAAGGGAGCTGTAAGTCTTTTTTTTCAATGCTGCTGTTGTCACCTGAGTTTGATTCTCTGTCAGTGATTTTTTTTTTTTAGTTTGTAGAAAGTTTCTGTTTTGCTTTCGTCTGTCACTTGAAAACCTTTTTGAGCTACTTTGCCTTATTTTTTGGATGAATTTACCTTTGAAGTAGATTAGATTTTAGCTGTAGATTTTAGCTTTTTTAAGAGTAGATGTTAGTTTTTTCTCTGTGTAGGGATTGATGCTGTTTTGTTGTGCACATCGAGTTTTTCTCTTGTTCAATTTTTCCGTTCCAAACCTTGTGTCTTCTGTCCTCATGTTGTGTCGGGCCTGTTTGGAGAAAGCCTTTTGGAGTTGAGAGTTGAACCAAACAATGACTTCATTTTAGTGCTGATCCAAATGATTCACACTGGCGCTGCATCAGTGTTGCGGCTCAAAGAGGCTTCGTGTGCACGAGCCTTGGGTGTGCCTCGGTCTTTTCGAGTGGAGCTCATGTCACCAACATCCAAATATGTTGAACTTTAATTTATGCAGACATCAAAAAACTGTAGATATGTAGATAATAGAAATAAATGGTTTTACAAAGGACTGCTCACTAGACCATGGAAGTGCCATTAAAGAAGATTCTTGAAGCCTTTAGTGAGACAGCAAGTCTGAATGAATTTAGGAGTGATCCGAAATTCTGCAAAAACTATTTTTAGCTAAGCCTTAATGTTTTCCTCTGGATGAACTGCCTGATCTCTCATAGGGTTGACACTAAGTTGTATATACTACAGAAATAGCAACAGGCTTGTTTGAATGCCATCGAGTTGGTCGTCTAGCTGTAGGGTTACGAGGAGCTCTTCTTCCCGCTCTTCAGCCATCTACGTTTGAGTCCAGTGATAAAAGCAGTGTGAAAACATCTTTGTTGAGGCTCGCAGTTTGATGATTCTGTTTCTCTTTACATTTTCCTTTTTTTCACGTCAACTTTTTGCTGTGTGTTTCTGTTCACAACCAAAGATGTTGTAGCCGCCCCGTCTTTTAGCTCTCTGTCGCAGATAAACTGCTCTGGTTCATGTGTTGTGTGTGTGTAGCTGGATAAAATTCTGCTTCAGATAGACCCAGAAAGAGAAAGATCGCAATAAAGGTGGTGACGTGCACACAATATTCCACATTATGACCACAGTTTAAGGTTTTGTGAGAACTTTTTTTTCCACTACTCTATCTGTCATAAAGTAAACTACACGTGAACAATCTGGTTTTGTTTACATGTGTTAATGAAGCTGAGTTTCCCTCAGTATACGTAATGCGGTGGAGAGTTGGTGCACATGTAGACTCATTATGAACTTTACTGGCCTCTGCAGACACCCAGGAGGAATCCAGAGCTTTTACGACAGCGAAAGTTTCAGACACGAGAGCTAATTTTGTAAATAGTCTTTTTTTCCCTCCCTTCCACTTTTCTCTGTACACCATGTTGTTTGTTTCTTCTCGTGTGTGTGTGTGTTTTTTTTTAATGATTTATAACCTGTCCAGATAACACAGTGACTAGCAAGTTTTTCAGATTCAGTGCACCATGAAGGAAAATGTCATGGATATTGTTTATATGTTCAGAGAAATGATATTCCATGTATTAGCCATCACTTTTAATACAAAAACAGGATTTTGAAACTATGAAATGACCACTTGTTATAATGCAGTGTTTATTTATTTTCTTTTTATATTTTAAAAACTTGTCAGCAGAGATAATATTACAGAAAGTCACGATGCTCCAAAATTTGCATCATGAAAAGTAGAACCTTAAGTTACATTTAATTGTAGGAATAGTGAGATCAGTTGTGTACACAATATCAGAAAAAAGACAAATCTCCTCGCACTTAATTTTTTAGTCCACACCAATTTGAAAACACTCTTTTTTTGTCCACCCTAATGGAGATTTGATGGCTTATTTCATAGCTTCAAAATGTTTTGCTGCTAAAACAGGATTTCCAAACAGGTGGTTAGATGTTGGCCAATCTGGATTTTCAAAATGTCCCCTTTTATTTGCATTTGGTTAACATAGAGTGTCCATCGTTTGTTTTATTTTCAGACATAACCTGATGATACTAATGTACAGAACGTAGTTTACTGTTGTTTCACTAGGCTGATGGGCAGTTTAAATAGTTGTATTTTATATTATTAAAACTTAGAAATGTTGTTATAAGGTGACATTTTTGACCTAGAAATAATTAAACTCCACACTGTGTGAACCAGGTTTGTGTGCATCCCAGGCATTTTGAAAATCCGATAGGCTCATCCCACTCCCTGCTTGTGAACAGTTTTCTTATTTATACAAGAACTCATTTTGTACAGTTTTGTTAAGAGGAAAGAGGTTTTGATATTTGGTTATTTTGCAAAGCCACTTGGCTACTTTTGTCTTCCTGTGCCAGAGTTGCTAAATTGTCTGTAACTTGTGTTTTTTTTATTGATTGAGATAAGATTTTCCTTCTTTCTTGGTTTTCTTTTGAATTTGAATATGTCAGTTTTTTTCTTTTTTTAATAAAAGCCTTGTTTCAATGATCAGGTGAACTGTGCTTTTGATTTTCTGCCTCACGGTAACTGAGTGGAGGGGCTGCATTATTGACAGCAGATGGATCATTACCTCCTCCTGCTGCTGCTGTTTCAGCTGTATTGATAATTACTGCGCTGGCATGTGTCATCATAACTCTGAAGGTATTTGCATGTGTTTGTATAGCTCAATAGGTCAAAGCTGACTGTCCATTTTCTAAACCTACTTGTTTTGTTATGAGTTATGAGGGACTGAAGTCCGAGGATGTAATTCAGTTGGGGAATTTCCGCTCAAAATCCTGGAAAAAATACTGCAAACACCTCTACATATAAAACTAGAATTACTGCCTTGTGGTCAAATGCCTTTGTGAACCAGTCAAGTTGAAGTTACAGTTTACATCGATATCTGTCCAGACTCATACATAGACAGACAGTAATGCCTCAAATATGGATGTTTCTGCAGAGAGGCTACATATTTTAACATGCAAGATTAGTGTCACCAATTCAGTATCTGACCAGATGTCACCCCTTGGTTCCTAAAGTATGGCCGGAAAAGTGTTTTTGCATTTCACATTATGATGTCAAAGTGAAGTTGACCTTTGACTTTTTGGATAAAATGTCATCATTTAATCATTTTAGACATTTGTGTGAAATAGTTTCACAATAACTCTCTTAATTCTTGATTTAGTGAACTTTGACCGCCAAAATCTAATCAGTTCATTCTTCAGTCTATGTGGACGTTTGTGCCGAATTCAGGAAATTCCTCCAAAACTTTTTTGAGATATCACATTCACAAGAATGAGATGAATGCAAGGTCACAGTGATCCTGACCTTTGACCACCAAAATCTAATCAGTTCACCTTGAGTTCAGGTGGACGTTTGTGCCAAATTCTAAGAAATTCCCTCAAGGTGTTTTTGAGATACCGTGTTCACAAGAATGAGATGGACCGATGGACCGACAGAAGCATAATACATAAGTAAAAAACACAAGCAAAGATGTAAGTCGTATATTTAGCAGTAATAACGTATGAGGGCCGTATCAACAAAAAGTAAATGTGAGGTGACATAATTGATAATTAATATTACAACTATTAAAACATTTGTTAAAAATAAAAAAAAGTCATTAAAATTAATTTGGAAAGCCCAGTTTAATTAATAACAATGTGTTATTTGCCAGATTGATACAAATATAAAGAGTGCAAGAAATACCATTCACATATATATTTATGTTTTTTTTCTGAAACCAAACCTACAGCCTTGCCTTGCTGGAGTCTGTTCCAGTATGCAATAGGGGAGCAGAGGGGTACCTCCTGTGCAGGCCACCAGTCCTAATCACAGGCCTAATACACAGACAGGAAACCATCCATACTCGCATCTACAGCTATGATTAATTCAGCTCAGCTAACTGCACAGATACCTGAGTGCAGTGGCACCAATAGCTTACCCTGATAAACATAATTGGAGCCTTAACACTGCTGTCTTTAGGGGGCTGTCGCACCTTCATTTTTTAAGCTAATGCAAAATTGGTTTCTTGTGAAACTAGACAACCTAAGGTATCCATTAATAACAAGATACTAGCTTCTCGGGAAGGGGGCTAAATAACACTCCAAAGTTAGACTAAATGTTGGCCAGGGGAAAAACTGACTTGGTGATTTTCAACTCTCACCTCAACATATATGAATGAATACAGGTTCTATGGGTACCCATACCTAACTGTACTGATATTAGTCTACACTCATCAGATAATTAGTAATATTAACTGTAAAATAAGAAACCAAGATATATAAGTATGTGACTCCTGTACTCTCATATTGATGTAGTTTTCAACTATACTACATCAGCAAAATTGAATTCCTGAAATTCAATGGCTTTTGGTTTCGGTGCGCCTCCCCAAGATTTTCAGTGGCCCCATCTGGCCACTCATGAAAAGTTTTCTGGCATTTCCACTGACTGTCTTTGGTGTCTTACTTGTGCACAAAGTTTAATAGCTGTGCTGTTAGGACATATGGAATGTATCAGCTGTAAAGAAATGATTAATCACCATTAAACAACTTTTCATGAGTCACTTTTATTGAAACGTCAGAATCAAACGGACACAGCTCACTGTTAGAAAAAACAAATATGAACATGCCATGTGTTTTATTCACTATACAGTTTGAACATTTCGAAAGCTCATTCTAATCATCAACTTGTTCACATGAAATCATTTTCTATCACGTCCCAAAGGCCACATTAATGTTACAATAGAAAGTGCAACTGATGTCTAATAACTTAAGTATGTTGTTAAAGTATGAAGAATGATGCTACAAACACACAGTTTCCCTTTGTGGTTGGTGTTGTATCATAGCTTCGAAAGTCTAGATGTTAGGTGAAATCCAGTGGTTCAGTTTCACTCAAACAGTATTTCCCGGCAAAAATATCCACGCTCAAACTGAGCTGAAAATATTTCAGACACATACAGTTAAACACTAAACTTGTCATCAGTGATAATGTGCATTAAAACAAGTATAAAACAAACTGTATCTACTGTACATAACTGGTGAAACAGTCGGTTATTAAAGCAAACACAACCTGAAAGTGCAGATTTTATGAATCTCCCTTTTTGGCTCAGTGATGGAAACAGATAATAATTAACTCTGTTTTGGGTCTGTTGTCCACTTATGAGCCTAATGACTGTTTGACTACACACTGTAGGATGGTGGGGTCACAGTGGACCCCTGAGAAATACAAAATCACATACAAAGGAATGGTCAGAGTAAAGTGAATGACTACAGTGAGCTCTGAATCTTTTAGGTCTTTAAAATACCTCCAATGTTGTGTCATACATACGTGATAATAATACATACCCATGTTGTTTGTACTACTATGTCTGAATAAATGTTCTTCTGTTGGCCTAATATTAAATTCTGATTATTAAAGACTACATCTACTTGGCCTTGTTGGGGATCCTTGATTCGAAATTAGAGCAGCTCAAATTGTTACAGCATGGATTCACATGTAGCAGATTCGTCAGCTAAACATCCAGTCTGTGTACTCTTAGTGATGCTGTTTATGTCAACTTCCAATTTTTGCCTCTTTTCAGGAGACGATATTTGATACAAAATAGATACTTGCTCAAGAGTATTATTTTTTTCCCCTGGCAACTATCAAAGAAATGGTGCATGTAGCTGCTATAAACGGCAAAGAGAGCATACCCTCTGGACCCCCCTAGGTCTGGGTTGAGTCACAAACATCAGGCTCTGCCCCTGCAGTGAGGTATCAGGCAGGTGTGGGCTGTGTCAAAGTGACAAAAACAGCAGCAGGATTGTATGGACATGGATACATACAGAAAAAAACTCATTCATGAAAAACCATATGGGCCTACCCCTGATGTCGTCTTGTTCACGAGGGTAGTATATCCAGGTTGATTGTTGAGTTTGTTAGCAGTTCAAATAGATCAGTTAAAGGACAAATTAATACTATGTAGGGGAAGAAGAAGAGGTGGAATGTTTTATTCGCGGCCTCCTCCCATGATCTGTAGCAGGAAGCTGAACAGGTAAATGATGTCCAGGTAGATGCTGAGGGTGGCAAAAATATATTCTTCCGGACTTATAGTGTAGCGCTTGTTCCCTAACAGCATCTGGGTGTCAAACGCCAGGAACTGTGGCAGAAAGAGGGACAGAGTGAGAAGAACCAGGGAGAGTAAATTAGTTTACAAACAAACTTCAGCTGGACTATATTGAGATCTTTATATGGAAACCCATTTCTGCCAGTTTGATTAAAAAAGAAGTCATTATAAGAGAAACTTTCTTGAAATAATGAGTTAGTATTTCAAAATGATGAGTAAGTATTTCAAAAATGATGAGTAAGTATTTTAAAATGATGAGTTAGTATTTTAAAATAATGACTTAGTATTTTGAAATAATGAGTTATTTCGAAAATAATGATTAAGTATCGAAAAATAATGAGTTAGTATTTCAAAATGATGAGTTGGTATTTCAAAAATAATGATTAAGTATCGAAAAATAATGAGTTAGTATTTCAAAAATAATGAGTTAGTATTTCAAAATGATGAGTTAGTATTTCAAAAATAATGACTCAGTATTTCAAAATAATGAGTTAGTATTTCAAAATAATGAGTAAGTATTTTAAAATGATGAGTTAGTATTTGAAATAGTGAGTTATTTCAAAAAAAAAAAAGAGTTAGTATTTCAAAAATAATGAGTCAGTATTTCAAAATAATGAGTTAGTATTTTAAAATGATGAGTTAGTATTTCAAAATAATGAGTAAGTATTTTAAAATGATGAGTTAGTATTTTAAAATAATGACTTAGTATTTTGAAATAATGAGTTAGTATTTCAAAAATAATGACTCAGTATTTCAAAATAATGAGTTAGTATTTCAAAATAATGAGTAAGTATTTTAAAATGATGAGTTAGTATTTGAAATAGTGAGTTATTTAAAAAAAAAGAGTTAGTATTTCAAAATGATGAGTTGGTATTTCAAAAATAATGAGTCAGTATTTCAAAATAATGAGTTAGTATTTTAAAAGGATGAGTTAGTATTTCAAAATAATGAGTTAGTATTTTAAAAGGATGAGTTAGTATTTCAAAATAATGAGTAAGTATTTTAAAATGATGAGTTAGTATTTTAAAATAATGACTTAGTATTTTGAAAGAATGAGTTATTTCAAAAAGAATTATTAAGTAGTATTTCAAAAATTATGAGACAGTATATCAAAATAATGAGTTAGTATCTCAGAAATAATGAGTTAGTATTTCACAAATAATGACTTAGTTTTTCAAATTAATAAGTTAGTATCTCAAAATAATGAGTTAGTATTTCAGAATAATGAGTTAGTATCTTAAAAAAATGATTTAGTATTTCAAAATAATGAGTTAGTTTTTCAAAATAATGACTTGGAATTTTAAGATAATGAGTAAGTATCTGAAAAATAATGAGGTAGTATTTCAAAATAATGAGTTAGTGGCCTCTAGTTTCGCAGACCGGGTGAGGCCAGGCAGATTTTGCAAGTTTGGCACACCGTACGCGCTGGCGCAGCTACTCCTCTTTCTCACCTCCGTCCCTCCTACCTGCGCAAGTCGTAAAGAGGGAGGAGAGAAGGCGTGGAGTGGGTTTTACACACATCACACCAATCAAATGAGCCTCTCGCCCTTAAATGCGTCGCGCGAAGGCGCAATGAGAGTTTACTCAATTCGCCATGGCAGAAGAGAGCAGCAGCGTCAGACGGCCAAACTTCTCCCAGGAGGAAACTGATGTTTTGGTCCGGGAGGTCCAAGCTCGCAGTGTCCGAATATACAGAACTGCAAGCAGACCTCCACGGGCTGATGATGCAAAGGTAGCCTGGGAGGAGGTCACCACAATTGTAAATCAATGATGCGTTTCTCTCGTGCGTGCGTGCGCGCTCTCTCTTTCTCTCTCGCAGTCTCACTCTGTTTTCTTTGGACTTTTCTAAGATGGCAGATGCTGAATATATACTCCCTATCTGATGCTGTGGCTGTTTGTGGTTGGCTGAGAGGGATGTGAACTCAGTTTGCAGCTGTGTTAATCAAATCAGGTTGGGTTTCCATTACGAGTGTCAAACGTGCCAAACGGTGCCAATCCCCTTTGATCTGACATCAGATGTGACGGGACAGTCGATACAGAGATACATTTATGTGCTGATAGATAGTTGCATTGAATAGTGGTTTTGTGGCTATTTATGGCATTGTTAATGTGCCTGATATTCTGGAAACCTGACTGTGAGGTTTTGGTGACATGTGCGTACTGTCCGCTAGTCAGCCAAACTTCCACTACACCGGCTGCGCTCCGCCTGTGCTGACAGTAGACTTGGTTCCAGCTGGCGAGCTTTTAGCGCACCTTCAGCGAAGCATTTTGGCACGAAACTGTCACTGCGCCAAGCTGGATCTGTCGACACCTCCCCCTGCTGCGCCGCCACAACCATCTCAGCGCACCTCGGTCTGCCAAACTACCAAATTGAGCGCGCCTCGGGTTGCGCTGCTCGAAACTAGCTCTGCATGGGGTTCGCCACCGTGCGCCACCCTGCGCTGCACCGTGAAACTAGGGCCCAGTATCTCAAAATAATAAGTTGGTATTTCAAAATAATGAATTTGAATTTTAAAATAATGAGTTAATTTCTTAAAAAAATGAGTTAGTATTTTAAAAATGAGTTAGTGTTTCAAAAATATTGAGTTAGTGTTTCAAAAATATTGAGTTAGTTAATATTTAAAAATAATGAGTATTTCAAAATTGCAAGTTAGTATCTCAAAAATAATGAGTTAGTATTTCAAAATAATGAGTTAGAATTTTAAAATAATGAGTTAGAATTTCAAAAATAATGAGTTAGAATTTCAAAATAATGAGTTAGTATTTCAAAAACAATGAGTTAGTATTTCAAAAATAATGAGTTAGTGTCTTCAAAATAATGATTCAATATTTCAAAAATAATGAGTTAGTATTTCAAAAATAATGAGAAATTTCCTCAAAAGTAATGAGAACGATATTATGTTTCTCATTATTTTGAGATAACTAATTTATTATAGATTTTCTTGTAATTTTGAGAAACCAAACCAGGTTGAGGAAATTTCTCATTATTTTTTACAAAGTTTCTCATTTTGACAAATTAAGTCATTAATGTCATTATTTTAAGATGCTAGGTCATCATTTTGACAACGTTTTTCATTATTTTAAGATACTAAGTCATTATTTGGAGAAAGTTTCTCTTTATAATGATTTGTAGGATCTTTATTTTTTTTTTTTTTTTTGGATCTAAATGGTGGAAAAGGGCCTCCATATTTTCATGATGTGATTCTCACCAAAGTAAAGAGGATGGCTCCTCCCACAGCATATAGGGCGTGTAACCAGGGAACCTGTGGTGCGAGACACATGCATTACAAAACACTGTTAAGAAGGGCAGCAGGATGCTAATTTAAGAAAAACTCAGCAGTGCTTTGCAAGATTATCTGTGATAATCCCTTCTTGTTAATGCACACCCAAATACAGCTAGCGGCACCGCAGGCATTATCCTGCAACTGGGGCTGGACTCATCACCAGTAAAAGGTTATTTCAGACTTCTTCCAGAAAGGTGTGGGTGAACTTACATATCCAAAAGGGACGACAATGGAGAGGGTAATGGCGCAGAGAAGCATGACCATGCATAAAGAAAACAAGACACCCTGATAGGATGTGACGTCAATCTGCAACAGATGACAAAGAGAGAAACAGATGATGGATTTTTTTTTCACTTGTTTGGTTGTTTAAAAGCAGTTTGAAGTAAGAAGTTTCCTCTGACCTTGCTCTGGAAGCTGAAGATGGTGACACAAAGACACACCAGAGCTGTGATTCCCAGGCACAGAGCCACTGATTTGGTGTTGTAAAAACTGGAGGGAAGAGAGGAAGGAGTCTTTTACTCTGGAATGGGTTGAAACCAACGTCGAAAACACCCACATGAACACATGTATTTACCTCGACACAAATCCCATCATGAAGGCCATGCTCACAGTCTGGGGGGAAGAGTGAAGAAATATCGCTGCAGTTAGGGTGTGTGTTGAGTGTGTGAGTGAAGAGCATATTGCGGTGTGTTTTCATGATGAGGAATACTCACAAAGAGAACTAACAAAATGACATTCCAAGGAAACTGCCTCCTGTTTAGGTTAAAAAAAGAAAGAAAATCCACAGCTTAAATATAAATCTACACAGTATTATGTGTTCACCATAATGAGTATTTGTGTTGTTAGTTGTATTGTAAAGAAGCGTTACCTCAGGTCTCCACAGCAGGACAACGCGATGTAGGTGGCAAAGAACATGAGACTGTCAAAAAACATAAATAAATATGAAATTTAGTAAACAATGTCTAACAATATAAAGGTGACACAATAACTACAATCATGATGTTTTCACTTACTAAGACGCCATGTACAAGCCTGGATGTGTCTGGATAAAATACCTCACAGGTGCACTGTAGAGACAAAAATGAAATGGATTAAATTCATGTTTGAATCGAAGTACTAAAAACAAAAACTTGAGAGATTTCAAAAGAGTAGTTACCAAAATGAGAAGAGACAAACAATTCCCACTGTCACTAACAGCTGGACCAAGAGAATGGCGTAGACCTGCAGGGAGGCATACATAGACAATGTCAGAGCAATGGAAGACTCACTGTGATATTGGCTTGTACTGATGACACTTGTTTCATATTGTTGCTGGGCAATGTATCAATTGATTTCATGATATGAGGCTAAATATTGTTGTAGATTTTGGACATAGTCATATCATAATGACTGTGTTTTCCTGGTTGTAAAGGCTGCATAGAGTAAAGTGATGTAATTTTATGAATTCTGGAGACGGTTCTAGCTGCTCTATTATTTGCCTTTACACACTCAGTCATTATATCCACATTACTGATGATTATTTATCAAAATTGTTAATGTGTAGATCTTTTGTGAAAGCACCAATAATCAACTCTACAAAACCATAGGTGTTTGTTCAAACATATCGTGATATTCGATCCTCTCCATATTGTCCAGCCCTAACTGTATATTACACATTTGTACCTTCCTGATGAAGGTCTGCCTGATGACCTTGTCGTCCCAGGCGAACTGGGCCTCCATCTCCTCATATCCTGTGAGAGAGGCAGGGAGGAGACGTGTGGTCACACATGGTGACACACTAAAAATGATACTGCAGCATTATTTAAATATTTATGTGATGTCAAGACACAACTGTTACCACATCCTTACAGTTAAAAATTGCAATGGAACAAACAATCCAATCATAATAAAAGAACCATTCACTCACTGTATGTTTTAAGTCTGACCTTTACACATATACTTTCACACAAATAAGTGTGTACTTTATGTAGTGAGTCTAGACAGAACTTAAGAACATAATACTCTTTTAACTAATGGAATTTATCATACCTGCAGTCGCCTCCTGATAAGTAGGGGGCTCCTTTTCATCACCGACCTGCTGGGATACAATTAAAGTTTGAATGTTCTTAAAATTTTAATTAGACACACAAAAAGCATAACTGTTGTTGCATTTCCCATACATGTTTTATTTCCCTGTGCTGGCACAGGGGAATTTGAATTTTGAATTTTGCTTTCATCTATGATACCTTCCATTTTACTATTAAAGTTGCCCGCAGACAATCCTTCATAACAGATTTGTCTACAAAACAGCCTCCATGTTTGATTAGGTCAAAGGATTAGGATGAATGTGATGGGCCTCCATCTTTTTGCAGCCAGCGTGTATAACACTATAATTGAAGTACACTGAAACCTACGTTCATTGAATGACGATATATTGTTATAATTTTAGCCTGGCTGTGATGTGGTCATTAAAATAATCAGAAACAGGAGAGCCATATCCCTACAATCCTGACTCGGAGCATGACTGCATGACTTCATCATTTGTGCCTCTCTGAGCTCATTTTGGGCTCAGTTTTGGAGAATAAGTATCTATTGCAGCTCAGAATACAAACTTAAAAACTGCATTCAAGTCAACCACTATACAGTGTATTACAAAGCTGTGGTGTGGCTGTAAAGCAGGAAAGTAAAAAACATACCTTTCCCTTCTTCATGATTTTCCCTTTTTTGCACTTTTGAGTTGCTGATGATGAGGAAAACAATTCTGAAATCACAGATTAATGTTTTTCTTGTCTTTTAAATCAAAAAACCACCCAGCTCCTCTTCTCTTGTGTAATTTGTGTGGTCCAAAACACTGTGAGTTGCAAGCAAAAAAATGTTGTTGGTGGAATAGTTGTTGCTCTGAATTTGTCTCCAGCGTGCGGATTACACTGAAGCTTTATATGCCTCCATGTGGTTAATCTCTCTCTAACCCTGATCCCACGCCACCCCTATCCTCAGCCTAATGAGGTCGCTCTAGAATTGTCCAGGTAGCGCAAAAACATTAAGATGAAGCCAGACCATACCACTGCTGTTGCAAAACAGGGGCGTCGTTTATGTCTCCCATTGCTGGCACAAACCTTCTCTACAGTGTTCCAGGACGGTTAATCATCCTAGTGCTCACCAGAAAAGACTCAAAGGACTTACATATCTGAATTACATATGCATTACATAACTGCTTTGCTCCACTTTGGGGGGAAATGAGGAGCACAGACACAAAATATGTTTGATAATCTACATATTTATATTCATATTGTGTTGTAATATATCATACAAAACAAAACCAACAACCTCTGTGCACGTGGATTTGTTTACATACACTAACATGTTGAGTGACAACATTAATGTACATCATTATCAAGTGAGCTTATGAGATATGACTTATGAGATGACTTTTGTGTCTGCTTTATTTTTAGCAGCACACCAGTGATCTCATGAACGGACTGTATGACATCATGTTTTTGTGTAAGAGACTGGTTTTGTAACAGGCACATCAGGCTAATGAGATTGAAGTTAAGAACATTATGGAGTAAACACATAACCTTTGAGGTTTACCAGCAGGCACTATTTTTACTAATATTGTTTTGACTACCATCTGCCTTGCCAAAAAGACCATTATGAACTTCACAAGCATGATAAACTGCTCTGAAGGAATGTGTTACTGTATTTCATATTGAGATTTGTCTCAGTATAGATCATAAAGTAAGGACACACATAAGAAAGCTACTGATAAGGTTTCATGGTTCCCCTTCCATTGACAACCAGTGAAAATGTGTGCAAAAAGCCTGCTATATAGTGATATAGTTAACATTAAGCAGCCACCTCACCAGATTTTTTTTTTTTTTGGTGTAAATACACACTGCAAACATGTAAATGTCAAACATATGTATATCATGTATACGTATGCACCACGTTATCATTCTAAATTCATTCCAGCACATCCATCTGCGCTGCTGTCCAACTGTTTCCAACACTGATTGTACTGTATGTTATTCTGTGTATATGTGTGTGCGTGTGTGTGTGTGTGTGTGTGTGTGTGTGTGTGTGGGTGTGTGTGTGTGTGTGTGTGTGTGTGTGTGTGTATGTATCCAATGTTCATAGTAAAGTGTTTGTGTTTAATTTGCTCAGCTTTATTTGTAGTTGTATGCCTATTTATGTACATTAAGAGCAAAAAAAAGAAAATGTTGTTATGTGTGTAAACACTGACCAATAAAGGTGATTCTGATGTAGTGCTGCTACGTATCCATGATGATACAATGATGTCTGATAATGTTACTTTACTTTAATATTCAGCAGGAAGTGTGATCTTTATTGTGGTGAAACATTGTCTGAAACCACAAAGCCTGTGTTTCAGTTCATTCATTGATAGATAGATACTTTATCAATCAAGAGGGAAATTAAGGCACCCAGCAGCTTTTTACACAACACATACACAGACACAGATGCACATATGGATACAGAAAATAGGTAAAAACACAGAGGCATTGACTGATTGATTGATTGATCGATCAATTGATTGATTGAGCCACTCAGACATTCAGTCAGACAGCCATACAAAATGCGGAGCCATACAAAACAATGTGGACAATAAGGATAAACAAATTCTGACACTACATGGTATCAACATTTTAAAAAAGACAAGTTTAAGTGACATTTGGGATGCAATAAATGGGATGCAGATAGTTTAATAAATTTCCTCCAATCCTCAGCCCATAAAACATGTTTAATACAAAATGCATCTGTATACACTTCCCTCTAATCACCACTAGATGGCACCAGCAGACAAGATTAAATTGGTCAGTGTATGTTGCAAGAAAGAACATGTGCCAGACAGATTGCAGGTTGTAGTATTGTTACTCAAATACATGTGTCCTTGGCTTCTTTACACTGGGAAAGAGGTGATCCTAGACTCTAGGAAGCCCCACTCAAAGAAGCCCAAAGAGGCCTTGTCCCAATGAATGTTATCCAGGTGTCCCACAGTTGCTAGATGGGGCTCCACTTAAGTGTTTATGGGGCAGTGTTGGTGCACTGTCTGGTGCCTTTATGGGAGGTTTAAAGGGGTTATAGCTGCAAAATATGCCAATGTGAGTGGCCAGCGGGGACTCTTTTCCTAGATTTTTTTGTGGGGCTCCAAATATTTGCCTGGTTTGCCTCCCCTGATGGTGCGCCCCTACTCAGGAGAGTAAGCAGATCATTGGACCAGAGGTATAAGACTCCTAAATAACAAAATGATGTCTGTATTACCTCTAATAGTGAAGCAAAGCATGTTTTGTGACAACACATAAACTGTACTCACTTATGAGGAATTAAAGTGGTCCTTGATAAACAATCTCACGAAAGGGTAATGTAAATAAACAATGAAAATTTAAAGAACTACAGTTTCAATATGACTTGGCAAACTCTATCTGCTGATGGCGATCATGTGATATGATCAAAAGCTCCGGATCAGCAACTAAATGAGCCATGTGGTGAGATTTCTTTCACAAGTGAGAATGAACTTTGGACCTCAGATATGCTGGTCCTGGTATTTTGAGATTGCACTTTGATACACCACAGAGATGCTGACTGCTTGTTATTTAGTGGCGCACACACACAAACACACACACACACACACACACACACACACACACACACACACACACACACACACGTTACAGGATTAGAGTAAGGGTTAGGTCTGAGTCTTTGTTTGTCTGTGTTTTTGAGTGCTTGATCATAGGAGGTATTGATTTTGACAGAATGGACGTTTGGTTCCAGTATTAGCCCCGGTCCCTGTGTCTAATCATAAAATAAAGTCACATCCAATATGTGCTCCTGTTGTTATCATCCTGTCCAGTAGGTGGCACGTGAAGACCTCACACAGTTCATAGAAATGACTAGAACACTGGTTGTCACAGCTCCAGCTGAGACTTTTACTGTAGAAGACTTTCAGTGGAGTTTTTTTCTTCTGATACCACACTGAGAATAAAAGTTTGGCAGTGTTCAAATATAAGAAGTGCAGAGGGCAGCTTTTGGCTGATGCTCATTTTTCATCTTGCCACCGAGCGAGAGATAGTGTATGTGCTATTGCTTTGAGACAGTTTGACTGCCAGAGAATCACCTGACATGGAGGCGATTCATTGCTTTTATTCAGCATATACTGCTGGATATGTGTCTCCTGATATTCATATGAGGAGTCACATGCTCTCCTGATTAAGTTACCTCAGAGGGAATATTAATCTTAGCATGAATCTATATTTGCTGTGCACAAAAACCACACGCATTTATTTTGTATTAGCAGTAATTTAAAGTGTAAAATAAGAACATGGACAGGCTGTATCTGTCCACGTCAGTCTGGTTTATAACAAACAGTGACAAGGCTTATTATGGAGACTTTTGGAGGCCAGAGTTGCTGTTTATAGAGAATGTTCCCAAACATTTATACTAATGCATTTTTCCCAGGCCTTCAAGTGGGCTGTTAGTGATAGCAGCGGTGACGTCTTCTCCTTGTACTGTCTGGCACCCTGAGCATTTGCATACTCACGTGTCAAACTAACCTACAGCAAAACCATCGCTTCAGTGCCATATTTCCACACATCACCCAACAGAATCCATCTCAATTGATAATCTCCCTCCTGATTGTTGTCTGTTGACAAAGAACATCGCCCCGTATTGAAGTGTGACGTTCTTTGAAATTATATTTACTTGTTATCACACATACACACTCAAAAATCAAGTGGTGTTTCTTGTTAGTAATGAAGCCCCTAATGGCTCTCAGACCTGGAGCATGATTGGCTGATTGCCTCTGTTGCTAGGCTACGGCTCCACGGTGTGCCTCGGTAATACTGATGGTAAGATCACATTAAGGAGGAAAATGAAAAAAGATGAGCACAAGGAAATATGCTATATAACATTATTTAATAATGGTACACTATGGTGTCACCATAAAACATTTACAAAATATTCACAAGGTGATGCAGTCAGTTGACAATACATTTATTTCAATTATATATATATATATATATATATATATATATATCTTCAAATAAAAGGTTTATACTCAGGTTCAAATGCTGCTTTCTCTTTGCAGTCTGTAGAGCAATCTATAATGTGTGACGTCATACAATAATTCAATACTAACTTCATTTACATAGCCGAGAATCTGCAAACTAATGAAGACCAAGAATAAAGGTTATATACAAAATGTACAAGTAAACACCGTTAACATATATCCCATCAGACACGGTCTAAAATGACCAATAATTTCTCCCTGATTACCGCATACAAATACAATGCAATTTACTCTCATTTCTTAAAAATGTTATACATTTCTCAATCACAAATGGGTGATTTTTCATAAAGATTTCCCACATGGTAACATGTTGTGAAAATAGCTTATATCATTTCAACAGGGCACACACAAACCGTCCTCCCGACTGTGTATTAGACATTTCTATTGCTATGTTATATATTGATTCAAGAGGTCCTCTCGATGTATGGAAGGTGCCCTTTACACAATGAAGCATGAATGTACAGTAAAGAAATCATGGTTGGTGAATGTTTGTACATGTTCCTTTTTCACTGGGCGAGAGTATGTGCTTCCCTCTTGTTAGCTTTGCGAGCTGGGATGGGAGGACAAAGTCTAGTGAGGAACAACAGGTTCTTTCTTCTTTTTGGTCTCCAGCACAAACTCCCACAGGGAGTGGTGATGACTTGGTGGTTTGATGTTAACTCGAAGAACCCAAAGGAAGAACACAATCTATGTTTTAATGTTTTTTTAAACAATCCTGGAACTGGAGGAGGAATCAGTTTGAGTTCAGGAGCCTCCGCCTCCTGCTGTGCCGACATCCTTCACTGATATTTTTTTTTCCAAGTTTGCTCTTTCATGATATCAGACTTGGCACAGCTCCCACAACAACTGT